AGCCCGAGCCCGAGCCAGCGCCGCGGACAGACGGCCCTGGGACGGAACCCTGGACGGACACACTGGCGGAATGGGCGGCAGCTGGCCCCGGCGTGGGCACGGAGAGGCCCAGCCTCCGGACACATCCAGAAGGGAGCGGCCACGGGTCGGAGCTGGAGAGAGCCCATAGCTTTTGGACTGAACCGCAAACGCGCGACCTCCGAGCCCACCCTGTGAGTGCCAGCCCCTGGGCAGAGCTAGAAGCAGATGGGCCCCAGGTCCTGCCAGAGAGGGACAGGTTCTGTGCTGATGGCCCCAGAAGCCACAAGAACTGTCCCAGTGTCCCCCCTCAGCCGTGGTGGGGCTGCCCCTCAACACACCCAAGTACCGATGGCTGCAGGACACCACAGGAGACGGACGGCCACTGGACAGAGCCACAGGATCCTAGATCCCAGACACCACAAGCCACCGAAACCGCCTGGCAGCAGCCTGGCCCTGGGGGACCCTGGGCAGGGCCTGGGACAGACTGCCTTTGCGAAGAGCCCCACAGAGAGGACCCGGGAAAGGAACCCGAGGCCGGGGAGCTGGTGACTCACCTCTGCACTCACCTGGGGTCTAGCCCCCCAGGGTGCACCGTGCCCCGCCTCATCATCACCCCTGAGACCCCAGAGCCTGGGGCCCAGCCAAGGGGGCCCCCCTCCCAGTTCGAGGGGGGCAGTGGTGGCTTCTCCTCTGCCTCCTCTTTCGACGAGTCCGAGGATGACATCGTGGTGGCTGGGGGCGGAGGTGCCAGCGACCTTGAGGATAGGTCTGGGGTGAGTGGGACCCCCCTCCCCGAGCCACGGGCCCAGGCTCCTTCTTATCCCCCTGTCCTGCCTGTAGTGGAGCTCCCCTCCCTCTGTCAGTCTCCTCTCAGCTCCCCAGGAGCGGATTCACCTCCAGCCTCTGGCTTCTTCCCTCTGGCCCCCTGGTTACTAACCCTCTACAGTTAGGCCTCTCTCTACATCTCTCATCACCTTTTCCCCACCCCCTCTAGTCCTGAGTGCGCAAGCAGAGTGCAGGGTGCCTGGGAGATGCTGAGACGGTGTGTGTACTTGTGTCTGCAGCAATCCCCTGTGGAGTCTCCGAGCTGAAGTCTGGCCTGAAGAGCAGCCACAGGGAGACTAAACGCACTGCCATCGAATCCATTCTGGCTCACGGGGACCCTAGAGGGCAGGATAGAACTGTAACTCTTGATGATGGGAGTAAAAAGGCTCATCTTTCTTCAAACTCTGACCTTGCGGTTAGCAGACCAATGTGTAACCCACTCCACCACCAGGGCTCCTCATAGGGCGAAAGACAGGGTGTACTTGCGGTGCCAAGTTTCTCCGCCTGGGGCTTGGGGCGACCTTCAGGGGTCTGGGAAACTTCTCTTACCTGGTAACCCACTTGTACAGTTTTCTAGGGAGTAGGCCCCCAAATGCGATCAGATTCTCAAAGGGCTGTGTGAACCCAAACACTAAGGGACCCCAGCCTAGCCAGAAGCCTTCCCAGTCTGCCCTCAGCCCCAGACTGGCCCTTCTCCCTAGGGACCCCTGCAGATGCTCATTTGCGGCCCCCACCTTGCTCCCAGCGTGGGTGCGGTCCTTCCCTGGTGAATCAGGAGGGCCAGCCGGGCAGGTTTTGCCTCACGTGGTCTGGGTGCGTCCTGTCTGCCAGGCTGCCCGCCGGGCACTCCCATCCTCTAGGACCCCCTCGGTGGAGTTGGTCCTGGGACGTGCGCACACACATGGCCCTGAGCATGAGAGACAGAGACCTGCCCCTACTTGCCTGTGCTGGGACACAGGAGCTGGTCCAGCGGGGCTTTTTGGCTTTGCTTGTTTTTCTCTGCCGATTCACTCCCCACCTTGGCATCTCAGAACAACCCCCCCACTCCCCCGCCTCCGATTTGAAAGTGAGTCAGTACTGCTCGTGCTACTACTGCTAGCAGCTAGCAAGCACTCATGGCCAGCCGGGGAATGAGAGCTCAGAATGCATTTCATCCTCCCAGGAACCCCATGAGGGAGACCCCAGCCATGACCACCCCTATTTCGCGGACGAGGAAACCGACAGTCCAGGGACACACACTTTGCAAGACACCGTGGAGATTCGAACCCAGGCCAGCTAGCTCCAGAGCCCACGCTTTCAAATTCGGCATCGCTCTGCCTTAAGGAGCCCTGGGTAGGGTGGTGGGTTACGTATTGAGCAGGGTCAGCAGTTCGTTCGAAGCCACCAGCCCCTCGGAGGGAGGGAGCCCAGCGGGGTGGACACGGCTCTCAAGTACCACCGCAGTAACGCCGAGGGGCAGGTGGACTCTGCCTTGGAGGGCCCAGCTAAGTCGGAATCGACTGGAGGGGTTTGTTGGTAGCGCCACAGGTTAAGCACTGGGCCACTGACTTGAAAGGTGGTGTGGCCAGAAGCCCCTGCCCCCCCAGATGCTCTACAGGAGCAAGGAGTAGACTCCGCTTCCTGATGGCAGCGTGCAGCCTGCAAGCCTGGGAGTCGATCAACTCACTGGCCGAGGGTAGGGTTTTGTTTGTTTGTGGGGTGCTCTAACTACGGAGCCTTGGTGGTGCGGCACGTTACGTGTTTGGCTGCTAACCGAAGGGGTCCCCTGTCCACCCTGACTGCTCAGCGGCAGAAAGGCGAGGCCGTCGGCTGGCTCCGAGTGGAGGGAGCCGGCCTCCAAGACCGCGTGGAGCCCATCCGCTCTGCGCAGTAGGGCCGCCGGGAGCCAGAACCCGGAACCAGTGCCAAGGTGGTGGGTGTGAGGGTTTGCGTTTGGCTTCTTGGTGCGATGCCTTTTGCCAGGCAGGGTTGGCCATTGCCAACCCTTCTTGAACACTCCCGGAGCGGGCTCGGGCCAGGTCTCTGAGAGGCTGTGGGTACCTGACCTCCATCTTCGGGGTGGCATTGCGGCAGAGAGAGGGGAGGGGAAGCCAGTCGGTGGAACAGCAGACGTGGGCAGCTCAGGCTCATCTCTGTTGTTTCCTTCACCCTTCCAAGGGGCACCTCCTTGGCCCCCCCACCCCCACCCCCGCATGTCCAGGGCTCCCCAGGGCCTCAGATAGCCATCAGGAGCTCCTGTCTTCAAGGCCTCTTTTCTCCCCCCACGCACCCCACTCCACTGCCGTGGAACCAAAGTACATGCTGTCCCTCTTGCCCACGGCCGCCGGCCCCCTCGCCTCCTTGCCCTCTGGCTTTAGTCTGCAACCCTGCCCGCCTTCCAAGCCTGACCCTCTTCCCGTTTTTCCCCTGCCCACCTTTCTTTCCACAGCCTGGGTCAGACTGCGCCCCTGGGAATACAGCATGGACCCCAATAGCCCTTGCTCCGGCCTCTGTGGGGTTCCTAAGCCAGGAACTCTCTGTCTGCACGGAGCCATCTGTAGACAGTGATGGCCCAGAGGAACCAGGGCTGGCCTGGGCGGAGGCCCAAGGGTCTCGTGGGGCTTGTGAAGTTGTGTGACCAGTTCCTCGGAACCCAGGAGGGAGCTTCCCTGAGGAGGGGATGGGTGCACAGAGACCATCCTGAAACCAGCGGAGAAGGCCCCCATTGACCCCCCGGTTGGGCGTGGTTAGTTAAGGCCCCCACTGATCCCCGGTGGGCGTGGTTGTGGCTTGATCATAGGCAGGTGACTTCACCCCTCTGGTCCTTGGCCTGGCTTCTTCGTGTGTAACCCAGAGACACCCACCGGGAGGAGGGGTCGGGAGATTTTGTGGTTTGAGGGGTAGTTAGGTTATGGCGCAGAGAGGCTTTGTCCATGCACCTGGAATGTTCCAGGTGTTTAGTAAACAGGAACCTTTATTAATCACCTCCCCACCTCCTCAGGGTGGAGGGGACTGACTAGCCCTTCCGGGATTCTGCAGTCTAGTACCTCGCACCTGCTTGGCAGCTGGGCTCTGAAGGGGTGGGGACAAAGAACATGGAGCGCCCTGGGTCCTGGGGAGCAGGAGGGGTGTGTGTCTCGGTAAGAGCCACTCAGCTTCCTCCTGGAGCGAAGTTGGGAACCTCTGCGTCAGGCTTGCCTCATTCGACCCCGTAGGAGGGCAGCCGCCCCACCAGATGTGCAAGGGGACACTGCCCTATGGGAACAGACTGCCACACGTTTCCCCTGAGGAGTGGCCGTTGGGTCCCCATCAAGGGCTGACCTTTCTGTCAAGCACTTAGCCACTGTACCACCAGGACTCCTCTGAGCAGGGCGCCCCTCCTCAGACTTGCTCAGTGCCTGTTAGGTGCTCAGGGCAGAGACTGTGTGTGTGGGTGTTTGAGGTGAGTGTTTTTGAGGATGAGTGTTTTAGTGTGACTTGTGCATGAGTGTGTGGACTGTGTGTGTGAACTTGAGTTGCATGTGTGTTGTGTGTGTGTGTTAGAGGTGTGTTTGAGAATGAGTGTGAGTTGTGCATGAGTGAGTGTGCATTAGAGGTGTGTTTGAGAGTATGAGTTGTGCATGAGTGTGTGAGAATGAGTGAGTGTGAGTTGTGCATGAGTGTGTGAACTGTGTGTGAACGTGCGTTGCGTGTGTGAGTTGTGCATGAGTGTGTTAGAGGTGTGTTTGAGCATGAGTGTGAGTTGTGCATGAGTGAGTGTGTGTTAGAGGTGTGTTTGAGGGTGAGTATGAGTTGTGCATGAGTGTGAGAATGAGTGCGTGAGTTGTGCATGAATGAGTGTGAATGTGTGTTAGAGGTGTGTTTGAGAATGATTGTCTCGGTGTGATTTCTGCATGAGTGTGTAGACTGCGTGTGTGTGAACGTGCATGTGTGAGTTGTACATGAGTGTGGGTGTGTTAGAGGTGTGTTAGAGAATGAGTGTGAGTTGTGTAGGGGTGTGTGTGTCTTAGAGGTGTGTTTGAGAATGAGTGAGTGTGACTTGTGCATGTGTGTGTGTGAACATGCGTTGCGTGTGTGAGTTGTGCATGAGTGTGTTAGAGGTGTTTGAGAATGAGTGTGAGTTGTGTATGGGTGAGTGTGTGTGTTAGAGGTGTGTTTGAGAATGAGTGTCTGAGTGACGTGTGCATGAGCGTGTGGGTGAGAGTGTGTGTGAGTTGGTGTGTGTCTGAGAGTTGTGCATGGGAGTGAACTGAGTGGCAGCATGTGTGTGACTCACACTCTGATCTTGACTCAAGGAGCCCCCGAGTGAGTCAACGGTGGTGGAACCAGAACCCAGTGTGGGGTTTGCTTCCCTGTTTTGTTTTTTCAAATCTTTTCTCTCTGTCATTCTCTGCATGGGCCCCTTTCTCCTGTCATTATCGCCTTCTCTCTCTCTCTCTCTCTCTCTGCCGTTTCCAGACTCTGATCGCTCGGGCTGGGGCTGCCTCAGCTTCCGTCAGAGCCAGCCTGCGACTTGGGAAAAGGAAGGGCAGTGTGGGCTTTGGTGTTCCCATTCCGGTGGCCAGTGTTGACCTCGGGTCAGTGGTGGGTGAGGGGGTCACACAGCGTGGAAGTCACACACTGGCCCTGCAGGCTTCCGATCGGAGTGATCCTTCAGCTCAGGTTTCTCTGGACAAAGCCAGCCCAGGGCCCAAGTTCAGGAGGACGGGGAGGGAGGCCCTGTGCTGTGGGACACACGTTGCCCAGGATGGATGGGGTCTCTGTCCTGCTCCGTGTCCCCGCCTCCAGCCATCCTTGCCTGCCTCTGTCTTTCCCCTGGAAGATGTGACCGGGTTTCTGGACCGAGATAGGCCTTCCATGTTTTCAGTGAGTGAGTGAGTGAGTGAGTGAGCGTGTGTGTGTGTGTGTGTGTGTGTGTGTGTGTGTGTGGCGTGTGTGAGTGTGTGTGTGTGTGTGTGTGTGTGTGTCGGGAGGAGGGAGTCGTGGGGAGATCAGGAGGTTGCTTGTTAGTGCAGCAGAGCTGGGCCTCTCATCACTCACACCCTGCCTCTCACAGCCGTGGGAGCCAGTGAGGAGGACAGAGACTTCAGAGACACAGACATGAAAAGCAGGAGGCAGAGACAGAACTGGGGAGACACACAAACGCTCCCCTGCCTTTACAGAGGCCTTTGGGAGGATCCCCTGAGTACAGAACTAGGCGGGGTCTGACAGGGAGTCCCAGGAAGCCCCCTGCCTCTAGAAAGACCCAGGCCCGCTTCCCGCTGCACATCAGCACACGTCCGTCCTCCTGCCCCTCCGTGGTGTTGGTCCTGACCCCTCTCTCTGCTCCACACAGCACAAGCCGTGGAAGAGGCTGAAGACAGTTTTGAAGTACTCGCCTTTTGTCGTCTCCTTCCGGAAACACTACCCGTGGGTGCAGCTGTCCGGACACGCTGGTGAGAGCTGGGTGCCGTGGGCCGAGACGCCAGGGCTGGGGCATAGGCAGGCCTCCCGCGCCTCGGTTTCCCCCTCTGTCGAAGGGCCTGGCGACAGTCATCTCATGGGGCTGCTGGAGGGAGCAGGGAGGCCTGAGCCCTGCCAGAAGAGCCCGGGGCAGAGTGCTGGACTCCGCTGTCACGGTGTCGGGTGGGAGGGCATCGGTTCTGGGCGAATTACTTTCTCCTCTGGGGACAGGCCGACTGCCTTCGAGGGGCCGCCTGCCTTCGAGGGGCCGCCTGGTGAATTGAAATCAAAAGACATCTCGGAGCTGAGGCGGAGGCCTCTCATAGATCGAACTTGTGGTTCCCTGCTCCCTCCCTAAGGAGCCCCTCGGCGTAGTGGTTACGAGTTGGGCTGCTAACCGCAAGGTCAGTAGTTCTAAACCATCAGCCGCTCTGGCTGCTCAGAGGGAGAAAGGCGAGACCATATACAGCCATTAAGAGTTGCTGTCTCAGATGCCCCCGGGGGGCAGTTCTGCCCTGCCCTGTAGGGTCACGGTGCATTGCAATGGCCGCGAAGGCAGCCAGTTTGGTTTTTGTGTTTAGTTGCCCCTCAGGGAGCCCTGGTAGTGCTGTGGGCTAGACAGCTGGACTTGGACCTGCAAGGTTGGCCATTCAAACCCACCAGGTGCAGCTCAGGAGAAAGCCAAGATGAGGCTGTCTGCTCCCACAGAGATGGAGGATCTCAGGAAATCCTCTACAGGGTTGAGCCTGGCGCCAGCCTCAGGCCTCACGGTGCTTGGGGAGGGAGACAGGCTCGTGGCCCCCTCCAGATGAAGCAACCGGAGCAGCTCGCGGAGATGAAGCGGGGGCTCTGCGGGCCCACAGCTGGCCGGGGGCAGCCCCGCGGCTCCTCGTCACCGTGTCCTCTGGCCTCTTGAGCAACAACCCTGAGCAATGCAAATGTCTTTTGGAAAAAAAAAAAAGAATGTGATGGGAAAACAGGAAGAATGAGACAAGACGGGTGTTTGTTCTATTCCCGGGCTCCCGCCTGCTCAGCGCTTCCCACAAGCTCGGGCGGCTTTCAGGACGGAAAGCTGGCGTCACCTGGGCCACTGGGGAGACTTCGGGATGAAGTCTCTGGGTTCCAAGCCACCCTTTTCCGCTTCCTGGCTGTGTGACGGAGACCGAGTGACTCAACATGGTCATTCCGGAGGGTTCAGATCCGGACAGGGGTACCCAATGAGGGTCACCCCTCCGGCCCGGTGACGGCCCCCCTCACCCCCTGCCCTGAGGTAGGTTTAACTATGGGTCCTATTTCCCAGATGAGGACATTAAGGCTGTGTGTCACACAGCCTCTGTGCAGTCGACTTGGGACCCAGACCCAGACCTGGCTCCAGAGCCCACCCTCGGGGTGAGTCACTGTGCTTTCCAAAGGGGACTCTCTTGTTAGTCTCGCTGCCAGACAATGAGGCTGACCAGATAAAAGATTCCCCCCCCCTTTTTTTTTTAAAGGGAGAAATGCTAGATGAGATAAGAAAACCCCCAAACCAAACTCACTGCCACCCCGCCGTCCATGCTGGCTCGGCGATGCCAACTAAGGGCAGAGCTGCCCCTGTGGGTGTCCCAGGCCGTAACTTCACGGGAGTAAAAGCCCCGTCTTTCTCCCGAGGGTCGGCTGGCGGTTTCTCACTGCTGACCTGTGGCCATTGCGCCATCAGGGCTCCTGAAACAGAAAAAGCATCTTAAAACAACGAAGCTCAGCTAACGAAGGAAGCTGGGCCTCAGGGGCCACCCAGTGAGAACTGGAACCAGATTGGGTGCTGATGGCAGAGCTGGGGGGCTGGCTGGACTTGACGATCCATAGGGGCATGTTTTGCTGGGTATCAGCCAGCCAGGGCCACACACAGTGGCTCAGAGCACCATTCTGGGGTTCTCCCCCAGCGCCTCAGGTGCCTGGAGATCAGCTGCCCTCAGCTGGACGTGGCTCCAGGCTGGGTGGCAGGCCCAGGTATACCCCGTCGGTCACTTGTCCTCCTTTGCAGCAGTGGGACAGCTGAAGCGGGTTTTTCTCATGGCCGGAGCAGACATTTAAAAGGACCAGCAGATCACTCAGATAGAGTTCAATGAGATGCTAATATCCTATTGGCTAAAGCAAATTGTGTGGTGCCTCCAACGTCAGTCAGTGGGCAGCAAGCGTATTCCCCGCTCCCATTTTTTTTTTTTTTTTGAGCTGTGACTGAAGACTGGCCCCAGGCTTGAATCCTGATTCTTTGGACCTTGCTTTCCCCCTTTGAACACTGAAGGATCATCCACGCGAGCCGGCAGGATGCAGCAAGGACGAGGGAGAACACGCAATGAGGGTTTGCTTCTTGATCAGCGGTGGTTCTCTGTGCGCCTCCAGGCCTGTACAAGGCAGAAGAGAAGCTCGCATCCAGCCAGGGTGTTAGACGTGAGAGCGTGGACGACAGTAGAGCTCAGTCAGCTCGTTCTGCAGAGGACAACGTAATACATCTCTTAGGGCGAGCCAGCCAGACACACACGAAAGTTGTTGGTGTCGCTGGGTGACCCTAAACGGCCCCCACTCGCAGCCACCCCGTGCACCATGGAACAGAACACTGCCTGCTTCCCTGCGGTGCCCCCCGTCATTCTCTCTCTGTTTGAGCTCATTGTCACAGGCACCACATCATTCCTCTTTTCTGCTGTCCCTCTGCTTTACCACGGGCGTCCCTCTCTGGGGCTGGTCTCCCCTGACCACCTGCCCAGCGTCCTCCAGATGACGTCTCAAGGATGGTGACCCTTGCCTCTTAAGGAGCGCGCCGCCTCTACTTCTCCAAGACGCGTTTGCCCATTGGCAGTCCACAGTGCTTTCAGTATTCTTCACCAGCACCATGAGTCAAATGCACCGCTTTCTTCGTGGGCCTTCCTCATGTCAGTTTCCAACTGTCACGCGCATACGCTGTGGCTCAGGTCGGGCGCACCTTAGTCCTCTAAGTAACGTCCTTGCTTTTCAGCACTTCAAAGAGGGCTTGTGCAGCAGATTGGCCCAATGCAGTGCACCCAAAACCAGTCCTAGGAAATAGGTACCGTATGTACTCGAGTATGAGCCAATCTGAGTATCAGCCGAGGCACCAATCTTACCACAAGAACTGCATTAAAAATGTGCTTTTCAACTCGGGGTATACACAAGTATATACGGTAAATACACGGTCCTGTGTGGCACTGAAACAAGCCGTGGGTTGAACTAGACAGCCTGCGCTCACCAGCAAAGGGAGACAGACCAGGAGCCTGTGGGTCCTGCTCATCCTTAGATCGAGTTGTAGAAAGCAAGGCCCTGACAAGGATTGTGTCGGCAGGCCTGCCGTCTGTACGTGATCTAGGTACCGCTGCTCCGATGAAACTGTGCCACAGTGGTATCACGGTTTGTAAACAACCACCACCCAAAACTCCCCAAACCTGGTGGTGGTTTAAAAAGCCGGCGTGGTGGAGGAAACCCGTTTTCCATCGGATTATCCTTATGGGTTTTCAATCAAGTCTTTAAACAAGGCCCAAGAAAGCAAGGGCCGAGGGGGGTTGTTTCTGGGGTTTCTGGGAACTCAGCTTGGACAACTAGCAGGCTGGGAGCTGGAAACCCGCCCCCCACCTCCCCACCCCCAGATGACTGTGGTCTTTTAGTCACCCTT